AATGATAATTCTCATCCATCCACCCAACCTCCATCGGACAATGAGGAAGATAAATACCCTATCTATGATCCGTCACTTGAGGTTGATGATGATGAGTAGAATGTGGAGAAAGTTTAAAAAGGGACAAACAACCATCTTTGAAGTAGGTCTACCACTCCAACAATCAGTCGTCGTAAGAAAAAGGGTAACTATAGGGAAGCACTTACATCTGCCCTTAATGTGTTGGTTGAGAATTCAAAGAAGAAGTCAGAGTATATTGACTATAAGATGTCTAGTGCGTTGAATTCACTTGAGGACATTGATGCAGCTTCATACACAAAGGCTATTAAGATTTTTGGAGATGGTATGAGCTTTAGGAAGATGTTCTTATCTATGTCAGATCATAGGAAGAAGGACTTTGTTAATCACCTATGATGGTTGTACTTTACCCTAGCATTTTGGATGTGTACTTTGAGATTATGTGTACTTTGGGATTATGTGTACTTTTGGATTATGTGGACTTTGGTATTATGCTTGCTTTTGGATTGTAGTTTAATTATTATGCGTAGTTATAATGTTTTGTGATAAATGTCTTATATGTGCATTACGTTTGGATATTACAGGTAAACTTGAATATTGAATAATGAATTCAAATGAAGACTTTGATGTGATATTAGATAGTGATGATGAGATGTTTATTGTATTGACTGCAATAGAATTAAATAGTCAAAATACATCATAACAATCATATAGAATGTGTGCTCTTACAAGCCATGATTACGTGTTGAAGCTATTACATGAACATGAAAATAGGTGTTATGAGCAATTTAGAATAGACACGTCTATATTCATGTTGTTTTGTGAGGCATTAAAAGAAAAAGGGTTGAAAAACTCAAGGTATGTAACTGTGCAAGAGCAAGTCTCAATATTTTTACTCACAATATCACATAATGAGCAAAATCGCGCAGTAGTTGAAAGGTTTTAGCATTCAGGGGAGACCATTTCCAAATACTTTAATCGTGTTATGAAAGCAATTTGTAGGCTTGGAGTTGATATCATCAGCCCTCCCGATTTTAGTATGGTTCAACCTCAGATTCGTTTCAACCCAAGATATTACCCTTTCTTCAAGGCAAGTGACAGTAATTTGTAGTATATGCTCCAAGAAAATACTACTTTTAATGTCATTCATGTGTTTTTTTTTTCTTTGAAGAATTGTGTTGGCGTCATTGATGGCACCCACGTTGATGCTCGCGTTCCAGCGGATTCCCAGATACCATACCATGGGAAATGTGTTGTATCAATACAAAATGTAATGTGTGCATGTTAATTTGACATGCGCTTTGTAATGAGTGGATGTGAAGGTACTGCTCATGACTCAAGAATATTTGCTAAGTGTGTTGCTAATCCAGCCAACAAGTTTCCAATGCCACCAGAGGGTAAGTGTAATTATGGAAGTTGTAATAATTATACATAAAACTAGACAATGAATCTTACACTTATAGCATTTTGACAGATAAATACTATGTTGTGGATTCGGGCTACACAAACATGCGTGGTTTTCTGTCCTCGTATCATGGTGAGAGATATCACCTGTGTGACTATAGAGGTAGGGGCCGACAACCAATCGAAAAATAAGAACTATTCAATCATCGTTACTGTGGAATGTGATAGAGTGTTGCTATGGAGTTCTAAAGGCTCGTTTTTCCATTCTGAAGTTAATGCCTCCACATCCCTTAACCACACAGAAATACATTCTCACAGCATGTTGTATAGTGCATAACTTTATACGAGTGCATTCTCGTCAAGATCAGTTATTTGACGAGTGGAAAAGAAGAGAATTTGTTGATAATGAAAGAACTGTTGCAGGATTAAGTTCAAAGGTTCCAACATAATTAGACATAAGTCTGAGTCAACTGCGTCAAATGGCTCATGTTAGAAATACAATTGCAGATCAATTTTGGGCATCAACTCACCATTGATAGATGTCCTAATATTATTATTTATTATGATGGTAAAAATGTGTTGGTACTTGCATTGGTATATTGAATTTAATGTTTGTATGACTAATTTTACTTGTTAATGTTAATGTAATTAGGTGTGTTATAATGACACGTATTGGCCCTCCATACTCGTGTAGATCTGGAAAAATGAATATTTTGGTCGTAAGGACCAAACGAAACAATGGGCGAGCTTTTTATCGTTGTCCACGATGGCTTGACCATGATAATTGTTTCATATGGGTTGATGAGTACAACACAATTACAAATAAACATCAAGTGATTCCTCAAGCCCAATCAAGATGGAGAGAGAAGAAATGGATCACTATTTTCATGCTTCTTTGTTGTGGTTGTAATTTGATCTTTATTTGTGCATTATTGTTCGTGGTATTTGTATTAATTATTGAAATTTTAGTTAAGTGATATGACTTATTAATGTGTGTATTTGGTTGTATGTTGAACAATATGATGTATGAATGTGGATAGTGACTTATATAATTTAATTATCTTTATTTAGGTGTTCTTTGATGAATTAGTGGATGTTTTGGTTTAAGAAATTTTTGGACTTTGTATTTTGTTGTATGATATATTATAAAGTGTATTGGAAGAGATATGGAGATTGCTTGAGGGTTTGCAATTTCAACTGCAACATGTATATACGGAAGCTAATGCTTTAGCTGGCTTCATTTGATGTTAGAAACTGGTTGCTTCACTGACTTTTCTAGCAGTGGTATTTTGCCACTGGCGGGAAGGTTGATTTTGCATCAGGACCAGTCCATGATACCTATTACAAGGAGGAGGAAGGTTTTAGAGGTGTTGTCTGATGTGCCAAGAGCAGATTTGCATTGGCCAGGCTAATCAAGGAGGTTTTTGTGTATCAATGGTGATTTGGTATTATCAATGGAGGTTGTTTTAAGAACTAGGAGCTGAACTGAGAAGTCCAAAAGATGCAGAAATTTAATCAAAATTGGTTTTGGTCCTTTTTGATTGTATATTGGCAATTATGGAAAGAGAGGTGTAGGAGGATCTTTGAAGGGAAAGGACAACACTCAACTTTTGTTTATTATGGAATTCTGTATTTTTGGAGATTGCAAGCTCATAATATCTCTGTGTTCTTCAAGATTGAAGTCATAACTTTTATAGCATCTACCTTTATTCAGGCTAATGAACTGATTTCTTTTGGGAAGCAAATTAATCATGATTCTTACTCAAGCAACTGAATGTAGATTACATACAAAGAATGAGGCGTGAAGTTCTATCTAAACAGCATGCACGTAGAGTACATGAATTCATTTCACAAGGAAAACAGTCCAAATCTCAAATAAGGGAGAGGTTTTCCAAAAATAAAGAGTTTCAAGAGAAAAATACTATGGCAGGCACATGGTTGTTACGTTGCTCTTCTGGGAATTCATCTTATGCCAAGCAACCAGTCTCGAAATGTTTCTATGATTGGAGAACCTCCTAGACATACTGGATCTCCTCTGCTCACTACTCTTTTCTGGACTTCTATTGATTTTGTCTCTACAGATTCTTTATCTCAACGATCTTCTTGGCTTTGGCCTTCAATGACCATCTGTTGCTGCTGCTGCTGCTGGATGTTCTCCTTTGTGCTTTACAATGATATGTGGTCACATTCACCAAGTTGTTTGGCTTTCTAGTCTCTTCGGATGCTTCTTCTTGGTATTTTGGTCTTTTGGAGGGATATTGATCTTATATGGTTTTGGATTTTGAAGAATAGTTGGATAGTCATCTTCTTCAATTTGAGGTTCACAAGGGTCTTCTGGTTCTCATCATTGTGCAGAAGATTTCTCTCAAGTTGCATTCAGAGGAAGGGGATCATCTTCGGTTTGAGCTTCCTTCTAAATGGTCTGGGAGTCTTCAAAGGTCTTTCCTCGAAAGCCTCTTACCTTGTTAATGCTGCCTTATCAAATGACTTTTCAAATTTGCCACCACTTATCAGATCTGAGAAGATCTACTTATCAGATCTGCCTCTTTAGTTCCCTTCGAAGATAACTTATCAAATGGTCTCTCAGCTCGATAGCAGCCTATGATCCTTTCTTATTTTAGCTCATTTAGCAGCTTTAGTTATAGCTCATAGCTCAAGGCTTACCAATCCACTCCTTCTGCTCAGTAATCTCTCACTACTCAGGCTACTGGTTCTCTCGGTTCCAATTATCAACTCAATTATAATCACTTGCAATTGGTCTTTAATGCTGCCCAAACCTCAGTTGCATTTCTAGCTGATTATGCTATTTTAGGAGCTGCATGTGTTTAGGATTTATTTTCTTTTATTTATCATTTACTAAACATGCATTTTTGCTCTCTTTTCAATTTTATTCTACGTAATTAAATTGTATTGAGGGGTAAGATACATACGTCCCCCATGACTAGGTGTAATTTAATTTTTTTAATCAATAAATTTTTTGCACCGTCGAGGTTCAAAAAAAAAAATAATAATTTATCTTATTTATGATTTGCATGGGCTGTTTGCATTGGACAGTTCTAGAATCTGGACTATTCTGCATTGGTATGGAATGGGGCATGAAAAAAATCAGGGGGTCATACTTTTAGAAAATTTGTTTTTTCATTCTTTGTAATTCTTTCTTTTGGAAATAAGATTTTCTCTAAAAAAAATAAAAATTGGCCAGGCATATTTAGGATATTTTAAAAAAATGATATATTATAAAACATATTTAAGATAAAACGTAAAATAATTACTGAACATGTTTTTTGTTTTTTATTCTTATAATTTAATTGACAAAAATGATATCCAAACATTCATGTCTAATATGAATGTGTTTCCTTAATTTAGAGTGTATTTCACTTACATCACAGAGTGAAAGCCCTTGGATTCCGTTGTTAGGGCTAAATCTTCAACTAAGTCAATTTGAAGAAAAAAATTCAATCAGTGCCTACAATGTGCCTAAGTGCAATTCACGGGTAACCACGCTCTGATACCAATTGAAAGGGGAAAGTGTTAAGGAACTTCCCATGTGATAATACAGTTGAAATCACATACATGACCTAGAGGGGATGAATAGGTAAATTGCACTTTCCATTCGGACAATTACCAGAACCTATAAGGCTTTCGTTGTGGAAGCCATTGGTGGCTTCAAGAAGATCAGCAGAAGTGTGCCTCAGGAGAGGCTGGTCAAATGTTGCCAGGTTGACGCTCAATGCCTCGCGAATAGTGGTTAGCCTCGAAGCGCTATTTGCAGTTGCTGAATTGGAATGACCATCCACATAGGCTTCGAGGGCATCCTCCTTTTTCCTTGATTCCACAGCTATTATAATCATCACACCAAAGATGCAGAAGAGGGAGAACAACAACCCCATTGCCACGCTCCCTGCAAGGGATGCTTGTCTACGATGAGACTTCTGGTGCTGGTTTAAACTTGCACCTGAACCTGCCCCACAAGGAGGTAGAGGGTACCCACAGAGGCCCGAATTATTGAGGAACCTATAATCAGGAAATGTATCAAAAGGAAACGATTCAGGAATCATTCCAGAGAGGTGGTTATTGGACAGATCAATCTCCACGAGCATTGCAAGGCCAGTCAATGATGGTGGAATAGAACCATTGAGACTATTATATGACAGATCAAGACTCGCAACATACATCAAACCTCCAAGCTCTGGAGGAATAGGACCAGAGAGAACATTATGCCCCAAATTCAATATAGAGAGATAGTATGTGGACCCAAGCTCCTTTGGAATACTACCGTCCAACTTATTGTAAGAAAGGTCAAGAAAAATCATTGACCCATTGTGGTTGAATGTTGGTTTGGTGCTGCCCCTGTAAACTCTAGTAAAGTTGCAGGGGTGCTTTGATGAAATACGGTCCAACTGTTCCTGTCTGATTCCTCCGGACTCAAGCAAATTCCATGCTCCATGGCACTGCTTACTGCCATCATTCTTGATGTACACGTACATTTTCCCAGTGAGCAATGCCAATGCAATCTTGCCAGACTGTTTGAACATAGCTGGCGGGATAGTCCCATTCAAGAAGTTTGTATTCAGATCCAACCATATCAAGCTACAACAATCCCCTAGCTCCCCCGAGATGCTCCAAGAGATTGAGTTGTTTCCTAGTTTGAGAATGGCTAAATTTTCCAGACTACCAAACGAGGCTGGTATCACACCACTGAGTTGATTGTTGGACAATGAAATCCAATTCAAATGTGTACAATTGCTCAAACTAGGAGGGATCGATCCGGTCAAGTCATTAAAGTCGAGAATGAAGCTGATTGTAAATACATAAGCTCTTGTGGGATTTCACCATGAAGCTGATTCAACCACATAATCAAATCCCGAAGCTTCCCCAATGACCCCAAGGTAGATGGGATTGTTCCATTAAGGTAATTAAAGCTTTAGATCAAGTGAAACCAATTGTGAACAATTACCGAGACTCTCTGGTATTGAACCAGTGAAAATATTGTTCTGAAGATACAGCATTTTCAAACTATTTCTTGGGTCTTGACAAATTCCAGAAGGAATCAAACCCGAAATATTATTAGAACTGACATCTAAAGTCTCCAAGTTTGTCAAATTTGACAAAGATTCAGGCAAAGAACCAACAAAAGCATTGAATGATAACACCAAATCCTTCAAATTACTCAACTTGAGAAAGGTTCCAATTGGTAACTCACCAGAGAAGTTGTTGTCAGAAATATCAAGGAGTTCCAAAACAGAGCATGCCCCAAAGCTTTCAGGCACAGTACCAGACAAATTATTGGAAGACAAATCCAACTCCACAAGAGCTGAACACAAATTCGAAAGATTTGAAGGCAATACCCCATGAAAACCATTACCAGAAAGGTACAGAGACTGCATGGCTCCGCTAGGAAGGTTTGGAATCGCACCAGTGAAATGGTTATTGGTAAGTTTCAAATAACTGAGTTTCCCACAAACAGAGAGACAAGAACTAACGTCTCCAGAAGACTTGTTGGATGACAAATCACGATGTTGCAAATATGCACAATCACCAAACGAAGGAAACCCAATTGAGAAATTATTGGCAGAAAGATCCAAATACTCCAAACTCTTGCAATCCGACACCGGAACATCGCCGGCGACTTTGTTACTGGTCAAGGACAAGTACCGGAGCTCACCACAACCATTGGGTAATAGCCACCGAACTAGGTCTTGACCGGATATCTTATTGTAAGAAAGATCGAGCACTAGAAAATTGAGATGTAACCCTTTTGAATCCTGAACATTGAAGTGCAAGAAATTCTGGGAAAGATTCAGAAAACTCAAGCTTGAGCATGAACCAAAGCTTGAAAGATCAGAAATTGGCCCAGAAAACGGCGTTTTCAGCTAGATCTATGTAGCTTAATACGGTGCTAAATTTTGATCTTGCAATAGAATTGACAGTGCCAGAGATATTAGAGCTTTTCAACAAAAGGGTCTCCAAGTTCGGAAGATTTATCCAGAGAGATGAGACTGAGAGAAAATCGACGCTCAGCCAAGTGCCGCTGTGATCTATGGAGGAACTCTGGAGTTCTTGCAGGTGACTTCGGTGAAATTACAGGGGTTATTGTTTGACCACCAGTTGTGAAGCACGTTTGGGATTGGTAGTGAAGCTTTGAAGGATAAGAGCTGTTGTGAGTATTTGGATAGGCCATTGACAGAAGCTGAAGAAGCTTGTAGAGAGAGAAAGGTAAGAAAGTACGAGAAGAGTAGAAGATAATAGAGCAAGAAGAGGTTCTTTAAGCTGAGAGAGAGGAACTGAAAACTATTAGGGGTTTCATTTTTGAGTTTGGGATGATACAACAAATAATTCTCAAGCTCAATTGTGGAGGTCAGACAAGGAGATCGGACAAGACATACGGAGCTCAATGGATCAAAACTCGAATTTTCCTCAATTGTGGAGGTCAGACAAGGAGATCGGACAAGACATTCAGAGCTCAATGGATCAAAACTCGAACTTTCCCTCAAACGAGACAATAACAGAAGTGATAAGGGAATAGCTGGATGCTACTTGGAACCCTATAAACACTCGAGAATAGTATCCAAAACGAAAAGCCTTCAACCAACCAAGATATTTTCTAACAATCAAGGAGAAATTTACGAGTGAAAGGCAAAGATCTCGGCAAAGATCGAGGAACAATTCTATAAATACTGTATAATACCCCCAATAAAAGAGGCAAATTTTTAGTAGCACAAGGGACTGATTGTAAAGGAGATTCCCCCATTATAGAAACGGAAGGAGCAAGAGTCTCCATTAAAGAGTGGATTAGCCAAGTTTTCAAGCTGGTGATCCACTATACTTTTATTGTGCACAACTCTCCCAAATCCCTAGTAATCTTTACACAAATCTCATGAGCCTCTTAGCTCAGATCCAACTTGTCAAGCATGGTCTATTCCCTCTGCTAATCCACATCAATTTTCACCTTCAGTTTGGCGTCGTCTGTAAGAACAATAATTCTCATTACAAGTATGCTGATCCTTCAGTAACTGATGGTCTCAACCCGCAATATGAGCAGAAGCCAAATGAATCCCCCACTAATGTAGAACCAGAAGGAGAACACAAGTAGACATCACAAGAATCCACAAGATTTATTCCCAACCGTAAATGTCAATCCTCCTATGATGGATCCTCCCACAAACAACGAGTTGGAGGCCCTCGGCTTGATAAAGCAAAATGAGGAACTTCTGAAGCTTTTACAAGAACCACAGGAGAAACAACCAGCCCAAGGAGGCCAGAATGATTTCCCTCATAGGGAACCGCAAACCCTTGATCCATTTCGGGAGGCCGACGAAAGAGGAGAAAATAGCCAAGTTCCCCAACCCCCTCTAAGGAACTGGGACAATGAAGAGGTGCAGAGCAGAAGTAATGAGATTGGGAAGAATAACCTCCACCCAGTCTAGCAAGAGCGGAAAGACCAATATTGGGAGCAGCGCTTCAAAGATATTCAACAGGAGCTCAACCACATGAAGGAGGCCGTTAAGGGTAAGACCCCAGTTACCATGGACGCCTTGGTGCAACAAACAGAGTCCCCATTCACTCATGGGGTATTACATTTTATCCCTCCCACCAAAATTCAGAATGACGCAAGTAGAAGCTTTTAATGGAACTAGAGACCTCATGAACCACCTGAACACCTATAAAAACCAGATGGAGTTGCATGAATATCAAGACCCTGTTCGCTGTCGCGCCTTTGCTATAACTCTGAATGGGTCAACCTTAGCATGGTTTAACCACCTTTCCCCGGCCTTAATCTCCTCGTTGAAAGAGCTCTCAATATCCTTTGTGTCTCACTTCATTGGAGCTTGGACATACAGAAAACCGAGCTACCATTTGCTAAATGTCAAACAAGGACCTCAGGAAAACCTAAGGTCCTATGTCCAAAGATTTAATTCGGAATCCCTAAAGGTAGATGTCCCGGATGAAAAATTCATAATTACTGCTTTCATAGCAGCATTGGGAATACAATCTAAGGACTTGATGTTCTCCATATCCAAGAATCCTCAAGCAAGCATAGCCGAGGTGTTGGCCAAAGCAAAGAAGTATATCAACGATGAGGAAGCTCTCCTTTCAAAGGTAGAGAATCCATCTTCCCAGAAAGGCAAGAAAAAGGAGGAAAAGAAAAGAGATCGGAGTCCCAGGAAAGAAAGAGAAAGAAACAGGTCTCCTAGAAGAGACAGATCTTGCAGGAGAGATAAAGAACGTTCCCTAAAAAAGAGGGGAAATGTCAGAGACCATCTAGGCCCCCCGCAGCCTGAGTTATAGCTAAGGTATGCACCTCAGCAGTACACCCCACTCACTGCCACAGTATCCCAGACCCTGTATGAGGTGCAAAATTAAAAGTTCTTAAGATAGCCTCCTCGAATGAAAGTAGATCCAGCAAAGAGGGATCCTACGAAGTATTGTGAATATCACAGGAATCATGATTACCATACCGATGACTGCATCTAGCTCAAGAAGGAGATTGAGTTCTTGATCCAAAGGGAGCATTTATGCCGTTTTATTACCCATGATGCTCAAAACAGAGCTCCACCGCACCCAGCACCTCAGCAGCAAACCCCCATGCAGCATCAACAACCCCTAGGGGAAATCAAAGTAATATCAGGGGGATTTGCAGGAGGAGGAGAATCTAACTCGGCTAGGAAAGTGCTACAACTTTAGAATTGATCACGCAAGTGCAGGTTATGCGAAGTAATAAATTTTTCAGGAGTCCGAGGTTGAACCACAAGGAATTAGAAAAATAAGAAACAAAAAACAAATAAAAAGTAAACTTGTAAGAACAATTTATTTAAGAGATTGTTGAGTTGAGAAAACATTGATTGAAGTAATTAAAATAATATAATAAAAATACTAGAGCATCAAGTACTCCCTCTCAATTTCGTACAATAATGATTAAGGACTCAAAATTTAATTTGAAACAAGAATCAGATGTCGGTTGATTCGAATAACAAATCAAGTAAGAAAACCAAAAGTTATAATCAAAAGATTATTTAGGAACCTGAATAATCATCCAATTATATTATTTTATGAAATAATGATAATTACCTCAAGCATGGAATAACCAGTTATTTACTCGTAGAAAAATTCAAACAATCGATGTACAAGATACAACAACTCAAGGATTTTTACAGAGCAAAAACTTTGCTATAAGATCAGAAATTAAATTAAAAAAATATCATAAATCATTAAACTCAGAATCAATAACATTATTATACTTCATTGAGAGGTTCTCCTCTAGCCCTACCTTAGCCTTCTAGCTAGACATGACAAACTAAAACTAGAAAAGAAAAGATGAGAAAAGAATCATCTCATAAATCCTAGATGAGAACCCTTATTTATACTAAAAATAAATCCTAAGTCTAAGTAGAAGATATAAGGTTGGCTTGAAAGGAATTCTTTCCAAAGAGAAGTCTTGTAAGGTAAAATCCTGTGCATAAAATTTTTGGGGCGCGGATACAAAATTTGTCCAGACTTCGAACTTGAATTTCGTATATTTAGAGGCTAAATCACGAAATTTTCGTGAAGTACACTTTTGTAGCCCTTAAAGTCTTCTTTTCAGCCCCCAAAAACAAGTAAATCGGATATCAAAGTCAAAAATTATGACCAGAATACTAAAGATATGTCAAATCCTTATTCTTCTAGGATACTTTCCTAATCCAACTTTAAATGAGTTTTCTTCCATCTTGAACTCTTATAAGGATTAAATTGCTGTCATATCTTCAAGTCTTCCTATCTCAATATTGACTCTTCAATCCTTATTAGTTGTGATTCTTCCTCTAGTGATTGATTCACTTGTATTATTCATTATTACTTTAAATCAACCAATTTACCTGCAAAATAAATCAAACAACTAGAAAAAGTATCAAATTAAAAAATCAAAGAATTCAAAACATTTAATTACAAATAATATGTAATTAACCAATCATTAAATATAATAAAATAGTAATTTTGATGGTTAATCAGAAAGCTCACTTACGTTGGGTCAGAGTTGATGAAGCACTGGAGGTACATACTATCTCCAAGAGTCCGCGTCTGGATATGTCAATCACCTTCTCAGATTTAGATCTAGAAGGTTGCCAACATCCCTATGATGATCCTTTAGTAGTAAGAGCGATCGTCGCCAACAGAATTGTTCATTGATTTTTGATTGACAACGGGAGCTCTACAAACATCATTTTTGCACCAGCGTTTGATAAGATGAGAATAGGTAGAGAAAAGCTCAAGCTAGTAACCACCCACCTGTTGGGATTCTCAAGAGAAAGGGTACTTCCACTGGGGTCGATTCAGCTCCTGCTCACAATTGGGGACCCTCCCTGTCAGACTCCACGTCTGTAAGATTTTTGGTAGTTGACGCCCCTTCTACGTATAACATGTTGCTAGGAAGATCTTCCCTCAATGCAATAAGAGCCATACCTCCAGCTTACCACCTAGTGATGAAGTTTCCTATGAAAAATGGGGTAGGTACTGTCCGAGGAGATCAATGTGTGGTAGGAGATCAATGTGTGGCACGAGAATGCTATATGGCGTCTGTCAAAAGAAAGGAGGTTGAAAACATTCAACTGGACGAGCTCGACATAAGAGACGAATTGGACACTAAGCCAACGCCATCAGAGGAACTAGAGCCTATCCAATTTGATGAAAAGCTATAACACGTTGTTTACGTCAAGTCTAAACTATGCAGGGAAATAAAGGACCTTCTCATCCAATTCTTGAAGGAAAACATGAAAGTATTTGCCTGGAAGCAAGAAGATATGAAAGTAATTGACCCCTCAGTTATCACATACAAGTTAAGTGCGAATCTCATCTATAAGCTTGTGAAATAGAAACGAAGAAGTTTTGCCCCAGAGCGCCAGAAGGGAATCAATGAGGAGGTCAGTAAACTTCTCCCCGCCAAAGCCATTAAGAAGTGGATTACCCTACATGGTTAGCCAATATGGTCCTTGTCAAGAAGACCAACGGCAAGTGGC